CTCATAGATCTATTTCCTCATCCTCATATAAATATATTTGCATATGTACATATCTTTATCTAGACCTCTATAAATGGAGGGCCAAGTTTTTACAATCACAATTAGCCCTCTTAATAATCCCAAAGAAACCAAATAATCCTATCAGCATTCTCCCCATCCTGCCCCCATCTTCTCTTAGACAGATGGAGGAAAAACAAAATACCCCTCATTAGCATGGTCCCACCCAGTCGTTTGGGGGGAATTTCAAGGACTTTGGCTAGGACACGGGTGTCCTAGTGGCAAAGTGGTTATGCATTGGGCAGTAGCCCGTAAGGTCAGTAGCTTCAAACTCCTTGGAAGATGGGACTTTCTATTCCAGTAAGCAGTTACCCTCTCGGAATCCCAAAGGGCCAGTTATACCATGCCCTACAGGGTTACTGTGAGTTGGCATAGACTTTGAGTTCGGGTGGCTGGCTGTTTTTATGATATGGATTTCCAAGCCATATCAGGTGAATCATTGCACCACGACTTCCCCTCCTCCCATCAAGCCCCTCCTCAAAAAGTGCCAGTGATGGCCGCACATTGACTGAACGAGCGCCCTAAGGCAGATACTTGGACTGGATCCCCAGCTGTGTGGTCCCCTCTCCTGGCTTCCTTCTCCATCGGCATGGTCTGCGGGATTTGTACAAGGATTGGCGGTGGCTGGCATCACGGCTGGCACACGGCGTTCTTAGTTGCCAAGTCCACTCCCAGTCAGGGCAACCTCGGGTACCACAGAACCAAGCGCTGCAAAACCCTGTGCCACCTTCACGACTGCTGGAGTGTCTGGGTCCCTGGTTGGAATCAGGGTGTCTTCTGGGGGACTGGCCTTCCCTTCCAGCACTCGGGCAGTACTCTACTGTTAGTCCTCAAGGTTTCACCAGCTGGTGTTCAGAAGTAGGTCACCAGGTTGTCCAACTTATCCTGTGTCCACCGTGAGTGACCCAGCTGCTCTATGAAACACCAGGAGGACAGGTTCCAGTGTCACAGGCACAAGCAAGCCACCTCGGTATGACAAGTCAACAGATGAATGGTAGAAATCGGTATTACAAGTCAATGGAGTTTGTGTGTGTTCACATTGGTTCTAATGCATAGAAAGAAAAAAGAAAAAACAAAACTCACTGCTATGGCGATCACACTGACTCATAGCAGCCCTATAGGACTGCTATAGTGTGTTAGTCCAGGTAGACTAGAGAAACAAATCCAGGGAGACACATATGTACATAAGAAAGAGCTTTATATAAAGAGTAATTGTACATTAAGAAAACACCCCAGCCCATTCCAGATCAAGTTCATAAGTCTGATATTAGCCCATATGTCCAAAGCCAATCTATAAAGAAAGGCCTCTTCAGACTCAGGAAGCACATGCAATAATGCCAAATGCAGGAAGATCACAGGCCAGTGGATGGGAAGTCTTGTGGATCCAATGGTGGTATAAGCATCTCAGAGCTGGCAGGGGTCTCCACGTGACTTCTCCAGCTCTGAGGCTCTGGCTGCCATCAGCCTCTCTCCATGTGTCTTTTCAGCTGCAATGTCTTCCAGAGAGTCAGCCTGTGTCCCGCCTCCAACGAGCTTAGCACCTCCAAATGAAGTCATCAAGCTGCAATCTGATTGACAGACTAAGCTCCACCCCTACACTCTTATGCCTCAAACTGACAACAGATTATGTAACTAACTCAGACAGGGTAGAACTGCCCCCTGTGAGTTTCCAAGACTGTTCACTCTTCATGGGACCACTCAGCTCGGCTGGTGGTTCTGAACTGCTGACCTTGTGGATTGCTGACCAAGGAGTAGCCCACACCACCTCATAGTTGTCCATCACTGGTCAGATGCATTTATATCCCCTGAAGGTACTTTCCATCCTTGAGAATGTCCTTGGCCAGCCTTGCAAAGAGAAGTGTGGTCTTGCAGGAGGGCAGTGGGGGGGAAGCCTCATGGCTTCAGTTTTCATTCCAAAAAAAGATTAGAAGCTAAACACATTGGGTTTGGGTGTCCCCAGGGCTACAGGGTTGATGAGAAGGCAGCGGAGCAAGCACGATGGGAAGAGGCCTCAAAAAAAACCATCAAGGAGACCACGAAGCCTTGTCCTCGTTGCCACGTGCCTGTGGAAAAAAATGGTAAGTCTGGGCGAAACCAAAGATGAGGGTCGGGTGAGCTTGTCTTAGATGGGGGTCCACTCCATGGCGACAGTAGGCAGGAACTTCCTAAGGAATCGAGCAGATGTATTGAAGCAGCCTTGCAAACGTTAGACTCTCCATTCTACCACCTCAAGCCTTTGAACCTTCTGAGCCCCAAACTCCTCATCTATAAAATAGAGCCTGCCCTCTGAGCTACCTCGGGGCCGGTGGGAGAACCACAGGCCATGGTGAGTTGCAGAGGACCGATGAACCCGGGACTCGGCAGAGAGTGCTGTTGGTGTGACGCTAACTCATGCTGATCCTACGTACAACAGGACAGAGTGCCCCAGCATTGGGTGCATCTTAGGTTTGAGGAAGCCCCCTGTGGCCGCTGTGTAGTTGAGTGCCTTCAAACCAAAGGGGCTCCTCTCCCTGCACTCGTTCAGACAATATGCTACCATCATCCATAGGGTTTTACTTGCCTGGCGGCCTGCAGTAGACTGCCAAGCTTTTCTTGCTAATCTGTCTTAGTCTGGAAGCTGCGCTCAGGCCTGATGAGTGACCCTGCTGGTATTTGAAATAGCGGTGGCCTCACTTCCAGAATCCCAGCTCTAACTCACTGAGAACAGAACAAGATATCGCCCGGCCTGTGCCAGCCTCACAATCCGCCCTGTATGAGCCCATGGTTGCAGCCACTGTGCCAATCCATCTCATTTCGGGCCTTCCTCATCTTCAGTGGCTCACTTCCGGTAGATGCTTCACTCCGAGTCCCAGCTCCATTTTCACCAGCTTTCTTCAATCTAAGGGCACACTGCCAGACAGAGGGTGGTATCCAGGAAGTCCTCGTGCTCTGTTATTAATGTTAGACATTGTCTTCCATTCTAAGCGCAAAGAGGAGAAAGACGGAAAGTAAGAGTGAGGGAAAATCTCCAACCTGTTGTTTCCCAAAATGTCCCCAGTGGTCCTCTGGTCTGAAGAGCTGCCCTGGGGGTGGGGGGAGGTCATCATGTCAAACAAATTTGCAAATAAATTCCTATTCTCTCCCTCCTCTTGGATAATCATAATATTACAAAGCAACTTTTACTGAGCACTTACTATATGCCAGACCTTGTTCTATGTGTTCTACAGCATAAAAATAATTCAATCCTCCCATCAACAACCTAAGGGAGCAACTACTACATTCACAACAAAACCAGCTGTCATTGGGTCTGTTTTAACTCCCAGTGACCCTAGAAGGCAGAGTAGAGCCACTCTCTAGGGTTCCCAAGGCTGTAGGTCTTTATAGGAGTAGACAGCCTCATCTTTTTTCTGAGGAGTGGCTGATGGGTTCAAACCACCGACCTTCTGGTTAGCAGCCACATTCATGACCCACTACATCACCAAGCCTCTTCATTCACAAGATACATTAGCATATTCAGACACCTCATTCGAACCTACAAGACAGCTGTTAATTTTGTTTGACCAACGGGCTTCTACATTTTTGGGGGGTCATGAAATTCTGTGTTCGCGTCACACCAATTCATATCCCTCTGTGTACTTGAACATGCTTTGGCATGATGTCCTTCTTCCACCTGTGGGAACCTGTCTTCTGTTAGGATGAGGCTGCTATGAGTTGGAATCTACTCGAGCAATGGATTGGTGTGGGGTTGGGGATTGTTACGCTGGCTCCCAGAGTGATGCACAGCGAACACACTTGGCTGCTAACCAAAAGGTTGGAGTTTCGAGTCTACTGAGAGACTCCTTGGGAGGTGAACAACAACAACAACTGGTGATTCACTTATTGGGGCTGGGGGGGATCAGTCCCTGAGAACCTAGAGAGGGCATTTCTACACTTAGATTCCACATTTTTGGCATTGGTAGAAAATTGCCTGACTGTTTTGTGCATTAAGGGCAGGTGTCTGGCTGCCCAGAGTGCTGGGGTGCAGGGCGAGAGGAAAGCTGACAGAGATGGTTAGGGTCTTGAGTCGTCTTGTGTGGGTTCACGCTGCTCAATGGTTTGCTGGTGATGTGCCCTCTGTTTGTGATCTGAAGTGATCATCTTCCATTTTGCACCACACTGATTCTCGCCTAACAGCCTAGACTTTGAAGCCTAACCATGTCAGTAAGTGAGGAGTAGGTGTGTGTGTGTTGAAAGTTCACACTTGGCCTGCCATGATCCATGACCCTGGCACCTCGCAGCAGCCAGCCCAGCAACTGCTATCCATTTAGTCCAAACCCACCACCACCCAGCATGCACAGAGACCTTTCTAAACTTGAAACTCTATGACCCGTGGGAGAGAGAATCAGAAGCAGTGTCACAGATGAGAACTGGGTTGCAGCACCTGCAACAGCTCTCCCCACCCTCTCTTTATGGAGCACCCTGGTTGTAGGTGGGTACCAGCTCTGATGCTATGGAGTGAGACCCAGAAGTCCCATCCCAGACACTCAGTGTCCTCTTCCCTCACATCTGTCCAGTAGCACAAACAGGAAGCTGATGCTTGCCGAGAAGCAAGAACCGTCTGAGCCCAGCTGTGGATCACAGGCCTCCTCAGGGGTGGGGATAGGATGCTTGAGCCCATGAGTTATTCTTACTTATTTTCATCCTAGAGCATTCCTAGAAAATGCAGTGGGTGGGCAGGTCACTCAGCTCGCTGCACTCACTGGTCAATGTAATCAAGAGAGAGAGCTTTTTTACTGTTGTGACCACTCCTCATTGATCAGTGTTGTCTTGCTTAAAGCTCAGGAAGATGTAAGGGAAGTAATGGAGACAGACCTGTTCCCACGGGAGAATTTTCAGTAGCTCATGAACATGAGCCAGCATTCCATTGCAGTGGTATTTAATGGATGCACATTTAATACTAAGACCTCATTTTATGACCACCAAAGGTTTTTTTAATTTGTATTGTTTGTTAAGGATAATCCTAAAAAATGATGAGAATACACATTGGCACAACTCTTGCCACCTGAGCTTTATATATTTAAAAATTTCTCATGTTTCCATCCTTTGACCCAATAATGTCACTTCGGGAAATCTATCCCAAAGGACTAAACTGAAGTGCGCAATACAGATGTGCACGCGCTGTATTGTCAGCAGAGCCAGGCTAAGAGCTGTGTTGAGGAAAGCCCAAGATCATCTCAGTGTTCAAAGTTATCAAGATGCGGATATGTTGATGATGCTAAGTTGGTGGAGGCTATCAGAGTCCTCAATTAGGAGAGCACTCCTGTGTGATGATAAAGCCATCCAATAAGCTGTTAGCAATCGCAGGATACAGCACCACAGGTTAAGAGCATCCACTCTGGGCTCCTACTGCTTGATTAAGAATCGACTTCAGCCACATCCAGTGTGGCTTCTTGGCTTCAGTCTCTTTGTCTCTGAAATGGGTTGATAATAAGCCATTCCTTAAAGAATTGACATAAGAAGAAAGTGAGTTCAATAACCTTGTACAGTTTCCGTGTAAGGAAAGAAATCATGGGGAATGCTCCCAAGTCATCTCAAGTAGAAAGTCTCAATTCTGAAAGAGGCCCTGTGGCCTCAATGTTGAAATGTATATCATTATAGCTCATAAACTAAAAAGCTAAAACTCTAGCCTTATCCAGGAGACCTACAACTGAAGCCTTTGAAGGCTTTGAAGCCTACCAACTCCGATGGAAACCACTGTGCCCTCTGTGAGCAGAGATAGCTGGTTTCCTTCTCTCGCAGTTCTCAGGAAGCTGGTCGCTTATTTCACATCCAGCTGAAGCCCAGAGAAGTCCATTTTCCCATTGCCTACTGACTCGCCTTCCAGATGGTTTGGGAACTTCTCTTCTCTCCTTAAATTTAATGGTGGACTTGATGGCCAGAGCCCTGGTATTGAATGCCCAGGGTAGGCTGGCCCCCTGCTGTTGGAATGTCAGCCAGCACACGGAACTCACTACTGAGGGAGCCCAAATCTTCTTCCTGTAAGCCTCCAAAAATTATCAGCAGCTCTTGCTTGCACTTTCCTTTCTGCTAGAAAGCTTCTAGGACTCGGTCCTTGGTGTTTCTCCATGCTGTAGGATCCAGCGCATCGTCTGTGTCCATTCACTGTAATGCAAATGGTTCGTGCTCTCAGCTACTAGCCAAGTGATTGGAGGGTCAAGTCCACCCAGAGATGCTTCAGGAGAAAGGTCTGGCGGTCTACTCTGAAAGGTCAGCCATTGGAAACCCTGTGGTTCTTCTCTGACACACAGTGGTGGCTACTGTATCAGAAGGGAAAGAGAGCTCATACTGTAGGCATCCTCTTTTCCTGGCTCCTTTCTGCTACTGCTGCTGGGCTATTCTATTTTTATTTTTTGCAGTAGAGGTTTCTTTATAGCACTAATACTCCCTAGCCCTAACATTGGGGGTAGAATACAAAAGCTAGCTCAACTTTTCATGTGGCACTATTTCAACATTTCATTGAGTTTGGATATGTTGCTAATGAGCTCTTTCTGCCATTTTAAAGAAGCTTAGTGATGTTGTAATACCAGATTGGTGTGTCTTTTCAGTTCTATTACAAATATATAATCTCTAACTGTAAGTTGAATATGAAGCCATCCTCAATGGAAAATGGGAAGCTTTCCTTGGCTCCCCCGTGTCTGCAGTAGTGTCGTGCTCTTCACAGAAGACCCAAAGGAAGGGGAATGCCTGGGACTTTCCGTGTATTTCAGTTATCCCGACGCACATGCCTCCAGTCACATGTCCATAAATATTCATACATTAGTGAATGTTCTCTTGCCAGATTCCTAACAATAAAAGTGAAGCTGCACTGAAGCAATTACTTGGACAATTTGGCGTGAAAGAAGCGAGTTGAGATCATTGGTCAACTTGAATAATAGAGAGCAATCCATTTGATGCACGACGCCAGCAAAGAAGTGAAGATGCAGCGTTAGGCTGACTGCCCTCGGAAATTCAGCCGACACAGATCCCCGCAGGAATCACACACGTGCTCTCCCCTGACCCCTCTCAAGACTGGACTATTTCTAGAACCTGGGAAGATAGGCTGGAGACCCAGCTCTGCACCAGCGTGAGCGCGAGCCTGAAATCCCACAGCTCTATGAAATCCTCCCCACTTACAAATACATAACCTTCAAAAAGCCCTGGATCGGCTCGTGTCTGTCTCACAAGGATGAAGTGGGATAACATTCAGGATGAACTGGGCTCACATCTGGATGAGCCCCAAACCAGACCCGGGATGGCCAAGTTAATGCCAATGCAGTGTGACCCTGCAGGACAGAGTAGAAGCGCCCCCATAGGGTGTTCGCAGCCAAGGGCCACTTCTTTCTCCAAGGGGGTGGCTGGTGAGTTCAAGCCACCAACCTTTTGGTGCGTAACCGAGTGTCTCACCATCGCACCAGCGTTGTGCCTGTCAACAGATGTTCGTTCCTTAGACCTGAACACACCAATTTTGAACACGTCATCAGGAGAGACCGTTGCGAGGAAAGGGCAACATTTTCGGCAGAGGAGGTCAAAGGGGATGAGAAGCAGCCTCAATGAGATGGGCTGACACAGCAGCTACAGCAGTGGACTCCACTGTGTTTCCTGTCACAAGGATGGCGTTGTACCGGGCAAGGCTTCGTGCCCGGGTCAGTGAGGGCCCCTTCAATGGGAGTCACTAGAACAGCCACCAACCCCAGCAACAAACTGTTCTTGGCTTAATTAGGAATTTTAAATGGCATTAAGGAGCATGCTGTTGGTAGGGGCCTTGTGCTTTCAGGTCGGTTCCGACCCATTGCGACTCTCGGCACAGCAGAAGGAAACACTGCCCGCTCCTGCGCCTTCCTCACAGTGGGGTTAAGGAACATGTTCCCCATAAAAAGTAGATTAACAGCCCTACTCCTGTTTTGTCAATATTTTCCCCAACAAATAACACCAAAGAGACATCCAAAAACTCATCCCAGGGGGGACAACAAACCCAGGGACAAGGGAACAACAAGCGATCCAAATTGGAGGGGAGGTGGGTGTGGGAGACCTGGTAGGGCAGGATCAAGGGGAACGTAACAAAGAGGAAGTGCTGAAATCCTGGTGGGGACT